GAAATAAACCTGATCTCCTGGGTCTGAAACTTTGCCGAAATTGGTGTCTTTTTGCATCAGAGTACGTGCTCTGCTCTCTGAGAAGGCAGATAAACCCTACTGTGGAGGGGGAGTAACTCGTGAAACTTGTTGGTTGGTTGTTTAGAGGGTGAATTGCCGTCTTAGTTGCGAAAATGTCATGCTGCTTTAGTCAGAGTTTATTATTTGTGACCAAATTTATTATTTGTCCAGACCCTGGAATCTTTTGTGCTTTTTCAGCCAAGGATTTGAAAGAAACGGCAGTGAAAGGTACAGGAAGCACGTCTCTGGCAGCAGGAGATTATTCCAAGTGCCATTCACAGGGATAGAGAAGCAGCCAGTACTGGCTGCTGTGAGACTTAGGAGGTTTGGGTGAAACTTTGAAAAATGTTTCTCAATGACACAATTGGTGACTCTATAATCTACAAGTACAGTTACTAAATGTGGTGTATTTCAAAACATTTGCTTTTTCAAAGGCTTTTCAAAGCATTTCCCTCCTTGCCAGCCATGCTGCAATTCATAGGGATGGGAATTGCCATTTTGCCAGTGTTCCTGATGTTATTTTAATATTGCAGTAGCACAGAAGAGACAAAATCTATTTGCACATGCTTATTTTAAATTCTGTGCCTCGTTTTCCTGAACAAATAGGAGGAAAAGGGAAAGATTAAACCGGGATGCAATAAGCATTGCTCTAGGTGATAAAGTAGCTACACAATACATAGCTAAATATACTACATAAGATAAATATACACATAGATGTTTTGAATACCTTGAATACAGAGACATGCATTATTAACTCTGGGCATAGACCCATTAAAAATGTCATGTTCAGACCTGAATATCTATTGTTCTTAAATATCTATGTGCTTTTTATTGCTTGGTATATTTGCTTAAGTTGAAGTCTATTTAGCTCACTCTGTAATTATTCAGAGTTTTTGTGCTTTTGTGAAAACTTTCAGTTGGAAAGGAATACAGGTTATGAAAATCTAAAATGTTCCTGAAAGAAAAAATACAGAAAAAATATTTTTATGGAACATTTTCAGACAGTAGTTGAATATATAGCAGCAGTATGTTTAATGAAATTACACTTTGAATAATACCATGTTTTGAGAATGCAAATAATCCAAGATTTAAAGTTCCAAGAGCTAAAGGAAAGCTGATAGATTTGTACTATCAAATGTTTTTTTTAGAAATGGTGTTTACAAAATATTGTGTTTCCCAAAAAGCATGAAAAATATGATGTTTACACCTCATAATTTTGGGAGCATATGATTTGTCCTTGGGTTTTCGACTTCCCCTTTTGTGCTATGCACATGCTCATGGAGTGATGTCTCCAAGCTTGGTTTTTAATCTGCTGCTTTTACTAGTAGTTGCAAGGGCCTAGAAGTGCACAAAAGGCATTCAAATGCATTGCTAAGCTGAAAATGAGCTATTTTGTTTTGATTGGAAGCGGCGTTATAGTGTCAGGCTTTTCCTTGGTGTGTTTGTGCAGTCACGTGAAGCCAGTTTGAAGTGGACAGTTCGCTGTGAGTTTAGTGCTGTCACCTCCAAGATAATTCACTGCACACCAAAGGGCTGTGGTAGGCCTCTTCTCAGATAGAAATGTGTTGTTTCCGTCTTTTTATTGTGATTAGTCATGATCTCTTCACATGATACAGTAGATGATAAAGTTGATTCATATTCAGTGGGACATTTGCTTACATGCTGGTATATTTTTGGAGCCTAGCAGTGTATGCATAATTTTCAAATTGTCACTCTTTTGCTTAGAATAATAAGATTTTTTTCTTTTTTAGTATAAGATACTCATTTTGCCTATCTCATAAAGTTTGCACTTGTGCATCTTTTAAGAAGATCAACTCAAGCAGAAGGATGTTAAGACTCAAAACATCTAGATATTTCTAAGAAGGATTTGTCTACTTTTCCAGGCTATTTAGCTGTATTAAAGGTATGCTGAATCAACAATGCTGTAGCATTAGTTGTCTTAGTATTCTCCAAGGCCTGGAATCGCCTGCTTTCTTCACACCAACCAAATTTACCTATGTAGTTCAACTGTAACAGTTTTGTCTTTGTTTTTTAATTTATTATATTGCTCTTTTGAGCAATGTGATAGGAGTGCAGAATGCTGGAATATTCATGGTGTTCCTCATGCTAGATAGAAAATATACTGCGAGTACTCCTTTCCTGATACTGTCTCTTGGAATAAGTTTGGTACCATTCCCATGCAATAATTCGGAAATAGTTCTAGAGGTTATAAATGCAATTGTAAATGGATATAAGAAATACAGGTATTACAATCAGCGAGCTTTTGAAAAGACTTCTCACAGTGCTTCCTACATGTGGTAATTTTCCTCTTGATGACTATGCTGCACTGGCTGGGTGATGAGACCAACTTTTACATTTTTTTAGTATGACAAGTTGCTTCAGCCTTTTTTCATTATTCTTATGTAACTTAATAGGCTAAATAAAATTTACCAGTGCCTGGAAACTTATCCTCTTTTAACTTATCCCTTATCACTGTGCAAAACTAATGAGATTAAAGATTTAGGACAAATCAGATGGGGGTATTTATTTTTGGAATTGATTGTCCTGTATTACCACTAGGAATTGTAAATAGGTTGTCCTAGTTCTGCCTCCTTTGTAACAATATTATAATTTTATATTATGAATCAAAAAAGATAAAACGTTTAAAGGAGTACATTCTGAGGAATACATCAAGCAAATGTATTCATTAAATTAAGTTAGCCTGCAATTACTTGGCTTTATCTGATAGCATTTGAGCATTTTTTGTTTTCATCTTACTTCTAGTAAGCATTTATCTAATTCTTTCTGNGGGAGAGACGCTTCCCCGAGCTGTCGCTCTTGGAGAAATAAACCTGATCTCCTGGGTCTGAAACTTTGCCGAAATTGGTGTCTTTTTGCATCAGAATACGTGCTCTGCTCTCTGAGAAGGCAGATAAACCCTACTGTGGAGGGGAAGTAACTCGTGAAACTTGTTGGTTGGTTGTTTAGAGGGTGAATTGCCGTCTTAGTTGCGAAAATGTCATGCTGCTTTAGTCAGAGTTTATTATTTGCGACCAAATTTATTATTTGTCCAGACCCTGGAATCTTTTGTGCTTTTTCAGCCAAGGATTTGAAAGAAACGGCAGTGAAAGGTACAGGAAGCACGTCTCTGGCAGCAGGAGATTATTCCAAGTGCTATTCACAGGGATAGAGAAGCAGCCAGTACTGGCTGCTGTGAGACTTAGGAGGTTTGGGTGAAACTTTGAAAAATGTTTCTCAATGACACAATTGGTGACTCTATAATCTACAAGTACAGTTACTAAATGTGGTGTATTTCAAAACATTTGCTTTTTCAAAGGCTTTTCAAAGCATTTCCCTCCTTGCCAGCCATGCTGCAATTCATAGGGATGGGAATTGCCATTTTGCCAGTGTTCCTGATGTTATTTTAATATTGCAGTAGCACAGAAGAGACAAAATCTATTTGCACATGCTTGTTGTTGTTGTTGTTGAAGTTCTCTGATCCTCTTCCTGAAACTGTTTTCTAATATACCTTTATCATTGGCCTAATGTTTACTTCATACAATCTGTAGGCTTTAGAAAGATATCTAATCAGCCTCAAAAAACCTGCTGTATAGTTAGATTAGTATAGATTAGTTTAGATGTTTGTTTAGATACTGAATGTGATGGGATTGTTCAGGAACCTGGATAAGCAATCCTATTTCTTAAGTTCTGTGGGTAGCATTAGAGTGATTTGAGGGTCACAATTTTCTTCTCAGTTTCTTGCTTTTTTTAAGTATGGAATATAACTTAGAGTTTTTTTTTAATCAGTAGGCTTGGTTTTGCAAAACATCTGCAGTGGAGTTGATGAAAACTGAGTGGAGATTAGGATGAGTAGGCTTGTATGCAGTCATTGGTTTTAGTTTTGTCTTTCCCTTTTTTCATGGTTACAGCTTTGCAGTATTTTTAGTTCTGGTAAGACTGTTCTAACAAAGAATATTCAAAATTAACTTCTGTACAGTTTCATTGACATGAATTCGATTGACTCTCATTTTTATTATGAGGTTATCCAGGTGCAGCAATGTACAATAAATTCCACAAATAAGATGCTAAAATTTCTACTCTGAAGGGCTTTCAGCTAAATAGGCAAGGTGCACAACTAATGAAAGAGAGGTAATCAGCTCTTCTTCGGTACATGTTTTCTTATAGATGATTGGCACATTATTGCAGAATTGTAGCTATTCTTATTGCCTCTGCTATTTTAGTGGTACAGGAGGTAGTGATACACTCTTGGCTCCAACTCCAGAAACACTATGCATGTATCGTGAGTTTTTTCTTTGTTTTGTTTTGTTTTTAATAAGCTTGATTGTTTTTAAGACTTCTCATGATAGTAAGTTAAGCACAGAAGTGTCTGTATGATTTGGTACTTATTTTGGACTATATGTGTAATTTGCACTTTTCATACTCTTTTGTCTAGTGATTCCTTTATCCTGTTTACTTTTATGTATTTTCTAATTTTGATTTAATTGTTCACTAATAGTCAGCTTGTGCTAGTGTGTAGCAAAGGGCCATTGGTAGACTTGCAGTTAAGAAAACTAACCCCAAAACACTTTAACCGTGTTAGAAAAAAGGATTAGAGAAGTATCTTCAGTTTTATGATCTGGAATCTTTGAATTTTCTCTCTGGTGAAACATCAAGTAGTATCCTCCATGAATGGGTTTCCTGAGTCAGGTGTTTTGTTGACTCAGCAAACATCTTAAGAGTTGTAGTTCTGAGGGACAAACTTGATTATTTTTTAACTGCTGTCTTAAGCAACTATATAATTGGGTTTTAAATTTTTGAAGTTCTAATGTAAAGGTAATGTCTAAAGTTCTGCGTTTTTTCTGTAACCTTAGAAATGATGGCAGATGACTTAGACAAATCTATTGAAGAACACAAGGCCAAGTTTGCACAAGATAAGGCAGAACTTGAAAATGATCCACCTTACATGGAAATGAGGGTAAGACTGTTAAAAAGCTTTCCTGAATATAAGTACTTGTGTTGCTAAGCCTACTTTTACTGTGCTCTTATAACTGGGTTTTTTGTTAAATTATATATTAAAGATTAAGTAATTTCTAACTTAAATACTTTATATCTGTATGTATGTGGATTTTTAAAAACCTGTATGCTACCAGGCATACACAGTAAGATTTGTATTTTACAAGTGAGAAAACTCTTGTAAATGGCTATTATTGCTCCTTCCCCCTCCTCCCTAGGGAAGGTGACTATCAGGGATCTGCCCTCTGCTCACTCCAGAGCTGTGGTCTTGGAATATCCTCAACATTTCTCTTACAGAAACTAGGAAATATAAAAGGAAAGTAACAATTAAACAAAATCTGTTCTTATCACAGTTTTCCTATTAGTAATTTTAATGTGTTAATCCAGCATTACTTTCAATCTCTCTATTCTCCAGTGCAAATAATTATGTTACTAATGTTCTTATACATGATATTTCCTTTACCTTGTACTGCAGTAAAGCATTTTGTTTTGTTTTCAGAATAAGGAATCAGAGAAGCTTTCTGAGACTAGGAAAATGTTAATTTCCATGGCTAAAGAAAATATACCTCCGAATAGTCAACAGAACTATCCTTTAGGTATAGTATATTTTTTTATATGTTTTCTAGATTTAAGTAGCATTTAATTACATTTGGGAATTTTTGCAAGGGAATTACTGCTTCGGATCTTTAATCATAAGATGATCATTGTAATTCAAGTGCATAATAATTCTTCAGTCTTCCAAAAGTCTTGGGATTGTATGGAATTTTATTTATTTTGCAGTTATGCTTTTTTTTTTTAATCAGGAGAATGGGGCAAGCACTTTCTTTTTCTTCCTGTAAAGGTAGTGCCACTAAAAAAAAAATCCAAACCAACCAACCAAAAAAAAAGAAATCTGGTTGTCAGTCCTTGATAGGCAATATGTCCTTTCCTGTTGTATTTGAGTGAAAAAAGCTTTGAAATTCCATCTCTCATCTGGACTTTACTTCAAAAGGGTACATTCCCTGTACGTTGTGACAGGGAAGTAAGAATACTTTTCCTTTCAGCCTCTTAGGTTAAGAGTCCTAGTCCAACTTGACTAAAATGCATAGAGTTAAACTTAAGGTTTTCCTTTCAATTGTAAGCATCTTTCAGATGTTTAGGCAGTTAAAACTGTTTGTATTGCTCTGTAATTTTGTTACAATGCACAACGTCCAATGTTACATGTAGTCATTTACTATTCAGGGACAGAACAAGCACTTAGTTTTGGTTGAAATCTTAACTAAGGGAAATGGTTAAATTTGTTTTGCTGTAACTATCAGTATTAGTAACTGTTTTCATTATATATTGTCCTTTTTCTTCTTTTCTTTGTGATTTCTGATTGAAAATGTGTGTGATAGTGTTCTTTTCTCCATTTTGATGTTTCTGTAATGTGCCACCTATCTTACTTGTCCATCTCCTTTCTGTTGGCACTACTGTTTTTCCTTAGTTACACTTGTATAGCTCAGGTTTGTTCTGACAGCTTTAGAGCTTTTTCATGTCCTGTTTCTTGTTGATAGGTAACTCTTTTCTTTCAGTGTACACGCTTTGGGTTTGTACCTTATTAATTTTCATGCTGTGCCTGATGTAATTCTGGTGTAATTCTGCAGCTTCCAGTGGGAGGTGGAACCTGAGCTTGTGAATCTGTGGGTCTGGACTGATCTTAGCTGCATAAATAAAAACATGGTTTTTATAAGGGTGTTGTATAAATAGAACTACCAACCATCAGAAGACTTTTAGAGGAAAACTTCGCAAAAAATACTTGAAATGATAATTGAATATTCCTTGCTGCTAGAAGTCAT